AATTATTTATTTAATTTTATTTAACATCATCATTTTTTTTTTTTTTTTGACCAGAGAAAGGGAGACAGAGGGAAAATGTAAAAGCAAACCACCAGGTCTGGGACTTGAACCACAGTCAACCATGTGGGAGTCCAGCGCCTTAACCACCATACCACCTGCTGGCCCCCCAAGGATAATGAGGGACAACAGGTGCAAAGGTCCTGAGTCTGGAAAGATAGCAGTGTGTTTCAGAAGCCAGGGCCACTCCCACTATTCAGCCTCCCTCTTGGCATAATAAAGAGCTTGAACCAAGTCTCAAGATGGTGTTTACCTTAAACAAAGTTTCAGGCCAGCCATCTTTCTTGCAATGAGGTCCTAGGTCTCAAGGTCCAGCCTGAATGCAGAGTCAACGTTGGCTCCCAGCACTTGAATTGCCCCATCTCTGCCCTGTCCCACCAAGACTGGCTTTAGCGTGAAGGCAGAGGAATGTGATGAGAGGTTGAGGTTCAAGAGAAGCACGGGCCTCTTCACTCACTCATTCCCACAGTCATCATTTCAGCACGTTCATTGCACACTCGCTGTGAGCCAGGTACAGGGGGGTCGTAGGTGCTGGAGAAGGTACAACTGGGACCCAGCCAAAACTGCCCTGGGGAAGCTCACTGTACATTTCAAAGAGCAGTCTGACTAGCAAATTTGACTCAGAGTGAACACTTTTTTTTTTTTTTAATTTTACTGTAGGGCCTCATTTACTCACCAGAGAAAGAGAAGTGAGAAAGCACCCCGGGGATAGCCACGTCACAATCCCGTCTCCATTTCTCTTTTCCAGATTTTGAGCATGCACACACATGTGCCCCACTGCCAGGTGCAGGACTCAAACTACATAGTTGGAGACCCCAACCACCATGCCATTGGCTAGCCTGTGGATACTTTTTTGATCCCCCCTTCATTTTTTTTTTTTGAAGAGGTTTTTTGCTATAGGGCACGTGCGCTCGCCAGACAGAGAGAGAGAGACAGAGAGACAGAAAGTGAGAAATCACCCCCCAGGGGGGATGGCCACGCCGCAATCCCTTCTCCTCCGTTCTCCTCTCGGGATCTTGGGCACGCACGCACACGCGCCCGGCGTGAGTTTTAAGCCACCGGGTCCGGGCCTCGAACCGCGGTCGACTACGTGGGAGTTCAGCGACATAGCCATTACGCTAACTGCTGGTCCCCACATGATTATTATTGAAAATAATTTTCTGATGGCAAGAAGGTAGTATCAGGGACCAGCAGTTAGCGTAATGGCTATGTCACTGGACTCCCACGTAGTCGACCACGGTTCGAGTCCCGGACCCGGTGGCTTAAAACTCATGCCGGGCGCGTGTGCGTGCGTGCCCAAGATCCTGAGAGGAGAACGGAGGAGAAGGGATTGCGGCGTGGCCATCCCCCCTGGGGGGTGATTTCTCGCTTTCTGTCTCTCTGTCTCTCTCTCTCTGTCTGGCGAGCGCACGTGCCCTATAGCAAAAAACCTCTCAAAAAAAATAATAATCATATAAGAATCATTATTTGTTCTTAAACAAGTCCAAAGACAATAAGTGAAAATTATTTATTTGGGGGCCAGTCCCATAGCCTGGTGGTTAAGGGAGCCAGATGCTGTATGACTGGTTCGAATCCCAGCCCAGATGGCTTGAAAAACATACCAGGCACAGTGGCCAGATGTGGCATGGTGGTTAAGGCATTGGATTCCCACATGGCTGGCCATGGTTTGAGTACCAGACTTGGCGGCTTGCTTTGTCTCTCTCTTGCTTGCTCTGTCCCTTTCTGGTCAAATTAAATAAATAAAATTAAATAAAATGATTTTTTAAAGGGGCCAGCAGTTAGTGTGGTGGTAAAGCTGGACACTCCAACATGGCCAACCACGGTTCAAGTCCCGGACCTGGTGGCTTGCCTTCTCACTTTCCGTCTTTCTTTCTCTGGTCAAATTAAAATAAATGAACAAATAAATAAATAATAATAGTAAAATAATAATTTTTAAAAATAATAGCAAAGTAACATATATAATTCTAAAAAAAAGAAAAAACACTGGGCATGCCCAAAATCCCACCTGGACGGAGAAATGGAGAAAAAGAGGTTGCGGCATGACCATACATTGGAGAGGGCTTTCTCCCTCGCTCTCTCTGTCTCTCTCTGGCAAGCATGTGTACCCTCTGGCAATTAACTGTTTTACTGAGATATATCCCATATACTATATAATTCACCTTTTTATAGAATTACTTTTTAAACTTTATTTATTATTACTATTATTTTCCAGTGTAATCAGAGAGAGACAGAAAGTGAGAAAGTAACCACCAGGTCCAGGATTCGAACCATGGGCAGCCCTGTGGGAGTCCAGTGCTTTTAACACCATGCCACCTGCAGGCCCCTATAATTCACATTTTTTCATTATTTTTTGGAGAGGTTTTTTTTGTTTTTTTTTTTTCTTGCTATAGGGCGTGTGCACTCACCAGAAAGACAGAGAGAGAAGGGAAGAAATCACCCCCTAGGGGGGAGAGATGGCCAAGCAGTAATCCCTTCTCCGTTCTCCTCTTGGGATCTTGGGCACACACGTGCACATGCGCCTGGCATGAGTTTAAGTGACTATCTGGGACTCCAACCATAGTCGACTACGTGGGAGTCCAGCGACATAGCCATTACGCCATCTGTTGGTCCCACCATGTGAAGCGTATAATTCAGGGCTGGCGCTGTAGCACCCTGCACCCTGGTTAAGAGCTATGTCTAGGGACCAGTAGGTGGTATGGTGGCTGACCACAGTCTGAGTCCCAGACTTGACGTGTTTCTTTCATACTTTCTCGCTCTCCCTCTGTGTCTCTCTCTGGTCAAACTGAAATGGATGAATGGATGAATAAAATTAAAATGAATAATTATCTCTGTTTTTAAAAAAAAGAACTGTGTCTAGAGAGCTGTATCTCACTACCTGGGAGTCCAGCAACGTAACCATTACGTCATCTGCAGGCCCTGCTTTCTCTCTTTCCTTCTTTCTCACTCTGGTAAGTACATGTGTCCTCTAGCCATTAGAAAACTAAAATAGCAGAGTCGGCTAATAGGTGGTCTGATGGTTAAGGCCTCTGGATTCCCACATGGCTGACGGTGATTTGAGTCCTGGGCCTGGTGGCTTGCTTTCTCACTTTCCCTCTCTTTTTCTCTCTCGCTCTGTCCCTCTCTGGTCAAATTAAAACAAACAAATAAATAAAGTTAAATAAAATAATTCT